ACAGGCAGTCGAGGGGTCCAGAGCTGTGGGCAGACAGGCAGTCGAGGGGTCCAGAGCTGTGGGCAGACAGGCAGTCGAGGGGTCCAGAGCTGTGGACGGACAGACAGTCGAGGGGTCCAGAGCTATGGGTGGACAGGCAGTCGAGGGGGCCAAAGGCAGCCAATCCCACAAGGCCCAAAGCCAGGAGTGAAACTCAGCCAAGTGGGTGTGCAGAGTCTCCTTTCATGCTGGCATTCTGGGTCATTGTTACCAAATCTCTCAGTTAGCATGGGTGCAGAGCCCACAGAAAGAGCAGGGTCACAGATCTCTAGAAGACACCATCAGAGAGCACTGTATGTAGTAGCTTCTCCCTCAAAGTAAAGGCCCTGGCCAGGCTGCAGAATCTTCTACAGATGTGGAAATGAGAAACATTCTCCTTAACAAATGAGCCAGAATCACATGCTGCCTCAAGTCAGGGGCCACAGCCCTGGCTGCAGAGGGCACTGTATTTTTTTTGGTAGAGGAGGTTACTGGGATGGCTCTCCTGCATGATAGGCCAGTGCTCTACCACGGAGCTGCATCCCAGACTCAGGGATGCTCTCCTTTGAGGTTTCCATAATGGAAGGGTTCGAATCTGGCATCTTGGTGAAGAGGCAGGAAACTTTGTACCGGGCTGACTGCTGCTTTGGAAGAGGCAGCTATACTTCAATTTGACCTTCTAGAAGTTTCTCCTGAGGCCCCTAGAGCTGCGTCTCTCTTCATAGACACTGGAGCTGAGTATCAGAATAGCTAAACACAGAGTTGCCCTAACAAAACCAACCTACGCAGATGCAGAAGGAGAACAAACTCTGGGTCAAGAGCTCAAGGGGTCCCTTCCCCACCTGGGTCCGGCAGAGGACCCAACTGCACTAACGCCCTCCACTCCAGATACTACAGATGGCCTGGAAGGGGACATGAGCACCTGGCCTTTCAGGGTTGATGCAGGGCTGAGGCTTCTGAAGGCCTTCACAGGAACCCACAGGAACCTCCTCTGTGCAGCTGGTTGTGTCTCCCTTTGGGGATCCAGGCTGAGGGTGCTGTCCTGGTGTTTGCCCGTTCTTTCCTCCTGTGGTGAACACAGGTCCTTTGTAGGCTTTCTGAAATGCCCAGCATGATCCTGGAGGGAGCCGAACCTGTGAACATCTCCCTGCAGGAACCTTTTAGGCTTCTGCCTTTGCCCTCTTCCGTCCTTCCTTCCTTCCTTCCTTCCTTCCTTCCTTCCTTCCTTCCTTCCTTCCTTCCTTCCTTCCTTCCATCCTTCCTACCCTTCTCCTAGTTACCAGTGTTCCCTAGGTCAAAAGTGATTCCTGTAGAGATGACCTCTCTTCCATCTGCCCCTGTCTTTCTAACTTCTAACCTTATTTTATTCCTCCTTCTTCTTCTTCTCTCTCCCTCCCCACTCCCTCCCTCTCACAAACACACTGCAGGATCATTTCATATAGCCAGGAGATGACTCTGCAGCCCTTCCCCCTACCCAGTCCATGGCCAGTCACCACTGACCTGGGGACAAAAGGAAGGAAACACGCCGTCTTTAGTCCTGGGAGAACCTCACACAGGCCTAAGCAAACAGGGTGTCCTCTTAGTCTCAGAAAGCTCCAAGGGGATGCATATGGCACCCTTTACCATCTTGAGGTACCTTAGGATGACTCAGGAGGCTCTGTGATCACTTCCAGTGTCAGAAAGGAACAGAGAAGTCCCTGTGTGTCAGATACTGGCTTTTGTCCCTTAGGGCTGCCTTCTACAGCATTCTTGTCACTGGTACCTGGCTGTGTTTCAGGATCTTTCTGGAAAAGCCAAGCTCAGCTTTCTCTTTCCTCTGCAGGAGGAAAAGACATTTTCAGAAAGTTCTCATCCCATCTCATCTGGCCCAGGTGTGGCGAAGCCCATCAGAGCAATGGCGGCAGCCGATGAATGACACCAGTATGCACCATGGCTGTGTGATTGTTAATCTTGATTATGAACTTCACAGATTAAGAATTACTATTGAATACACCCCTGAGTGTGACTGTGAGGGCGTTTCTAGAATGATTTAAGTGAAGAGGAAAGACCCTGAATATGACCAGCTGTTTCACTCTGCCTCTGCCATGCTTCCTCACCAGGATCAAACTGTGATCCCAAGTTAAGCCTATTCCTTAAGTTGCTTTTATCAGGTGTTTGTTACAGCAATGAGAAAAGGAACGAACACGCCATGGTAGTGGGATTCAAACATGTGCCACTCCAGCCCTCAAACATCCCTTTGTGATATTACCTCCTTAGACATGCCTCCGGGCAAAATCACAGGGCACGTGCACAGTGGCTGCAACCAGACACACTCCAGAGCCAGGCAGGATGGGACTCTGAGCAGTTCTGCTCATTGTCATTTGCTCCAGGCCTGAGCACAAGGCCTAAGCCCAGTGTCTCATCGGAGACCCCAGAGGGTCTTGTTGGTTTCCAGTGAGGCTTGCTCTCCCTGAGGATGGGCTGCCCTCCAATGGCCACAGCCTTCCCAGTAGAGCAAGTCCCTGAAGTCAGGCCTGAGAAAAACTGTGGAACATGGACATGTCGCAGGTCTCTGCACCTGCCATGCCACTAAAGGAACTGGCTCATCTCTCTTGACTCTGTGGCTGGATGGCAGGACTAGAGCAACATTTCCACCAGAGCTGGGGTAAGAGGAGTGCTCTTGACAAGGAAGGGACTGGACCAGCATGAAGCTGCTGTGCCTTCTCTGTTGAAGAGAAAGTCACCTGGCTGCACCACAGCCAGGGGTGTATGCCAGCATCAATATACTCAGGACCGAGATGCTGAGTGGGTACATGCAGGCTCCAGGTGGGATATTCCCCACGCTGCTGTTCTCTCAAGCCACACACTCCTGGGTACTCCTCCCTTCCCATCAGTAAATTTCTCCCCACAGACAAAGCTAAACATCCGTCGCTTCCCAGGCAAGTGTTTAGAAAGGGCCCTTGCCTGATGTAGCATGAATCTTAGAAGGTCTTATTAATAAAATCAAACCTGAGGCCTAGTATTGGGGTGAACACTGGAAGATCAGAGAGACAGAACAAGCCACAGCTAATCTGACTTGGCCAACTTCTCAGCTGATCTTGTTTCCTCAGACTGGATGCCTCTGAGTCCTCATCCAGAATGGATCTCAGCTGAACTGTGCTGCTCAAAACCTAAAGGCTTAACCAGCCAAATGCTTCTAGTTTTTGGTCTTCATGCCTTATATATCATTCTTTTTCTGCCATCACTTCCTGGGATTAAAGGGGTGAGTCACCATGCCTGGCTGTTTCCAATGTGGCCTTGAACTCACAGAGATCCAGATGGATTTCTGCCTCTGCAATGCTAGGATTAAAGGTGTGAGTGCCACCATTTTCTAGCCTCTGTATCTAGTGGCTGTTCTGTTCTCTGACCCCAGATAAATTTATTAGGGTACACAATATTTTGGGGAACACAATACCACCACAGCCTGACATGGGTTTCTGCCTCTGCATGTAGGGGACTCTCCTCTGTCCTGGGACTGCTGAGCCTATGATTTTATGAGTAACAACCTGGCCCTAAGGAACTCCTTTCTATCATGTCAACTTTCCAAAAACAAATTGTAGTCCAGATATTGATCAGGAGCCAAGGCCTCTTCTGTGTTCTGGTTGGGGTATATGCCAATACACTTGCATGTACAGACATACAACACATGTGCACATTTGTGCAAGCATACAAACATACACATGAACACCCAACATACATGGGCAAACACATCTGCACAATTCACAGGTGAGCTCACACTGACAATGTACACCCACAGTAATGCAACAAACACATAGACATACACCAGGTATGTATACTGTTTGCACATTCCCCCCCAAACATAATGCATGAGCAGATACGTGTACACATGTCTCCTCATACATGTACACTACACAGGCACACCAGACATAAACACATTTTGCTTTTGCAAACATGCCATCCCACACCACAATGGCCTAGTGCACATGTGTGCACACATGTGCTGTGCTCTTCTAAACAAGACCTGGTAGACTCCTTACAAGCTCTTCCCTTGAGGTCTGGATTCTTTCCCAGGGAAGCCTGAGAAGCCACTGTAGGTCACTGATTTGACACTGGGCTCTGGACTCCATGGTCCTGAGTGGCCTTTTAAAAGCTAGTACTGCCTGTAAGCATGTGTACTTTACAGTTTCCAACAGGCTTGTCCCTCTGGGCTGTGTCACATGGCCAGTTGGTGCCTATCCCCTGCTGCTAGTGTGAGAGAGGGTGAGGATTGGTAAGGCTGGGTTCCTTATCAGAAAGGGAGTCTGGGGGCCCTTTGAAGCAGCCTTTCTGAATCCAGAGACTTGTGTTTGGTGCCTGCTCCATGGCTGACACACTCACCTATAAATAATGGTGGTGACAGGTCCCCTGTCAGCACCCGCTGATGGACGGCTCCTTCTCCTGCCATTACAGCCTTGTGACTGTGGGAAAATTAATTTAAGTGGTAGTTAATTTCTAATGAATTCCATTCAAGCGGCTAATATGGTCCCTTGGTGTTATGGTAACCTTCACGGATCATTGCATTATGTAAATAAATTCTACTTTATGCTGGTTTATTAAAAAAAGAGAGTAAAGATTGGGAAGTCTGGGTAATTCTCACACAGTCACACAAACAACCCACAGTAGCTGGAAACTCTTTAAAGGGAAAAATACAAGCCACTTTGGAGCCTGTCCAAGAAGGGACAGCCGAAGAATGGTGGAATCATCTATTTTTAGGGCTTTGCATACACCGGCTCTCCCCACACCTCCCGAATCTATGCAGCTTATGTTGTATTCCAAAGAGAGGGTTTCTACCTTAAGCCATGGTGAAGTTGTACCTTAGGGAGTCTTGATTTCAACACCTAGGTGGGGGTGTCTAGGTGAGGCTTGTCCTGGATTCAGGAGGACGGAGTTTGGCTTCAAGTCACACTTAGGAGAGTTGCCATCAGGAACAAGGCCTTGGCATCTCTGTGTAATGTGTAGTTTGAGGTATGTGGTGTGGTTTTAGTGTGCAGTGTGTGTGTTGGAGGGAAGTATGGCTGAGGCAGTATCGGGAAGAGGAGCAGACCATCTCTTCTGAGGGACTCACTCACCCTGCAGGGGCAGCCCAACCACATCTCACAGGAGACCCAGGGGCCTGTGGTCGGCGTGCACAGAGGAGTCGAGATGCAGCCTGAGCCTTTACAGACGGCCTCCCGTCTTCCTCAGTCCGCTCTTTGGCCCTGCCACCGTCATTCCTGCAAGGTGCTGGGCTTCTTGGTGGCGTGGGTAGCACTGAACACCTCTCCACCCTGATACTCTGTCCTGTCCTGCCACAGCTCTTGACTTCTCCTCCTCTAGATATGCCTCTTTCACATAGCTGTCTCTTCTTCTTGGGGTCTAGGGGCTGGGGTTCCGCAGTCCATCATTTTCAAGATCATTCACCTGTTTTCATCTAATACAATATCCAGACCACCCAGAGGTCCTTCAAACCGCAGCTACCCTGATGGGGGATGGCGCAGCAGCACTGCTCACTGGGGTCTTCCACGCCACAGCCAGTCTCCTTTGTCTCCCTTTGTCACTGCATGAAGAGGTTCCTAGGTTCCCGGCCTTCTCTGACTAAATAAGGAGTATACAAGCCACAGCCATGGGCTGCCAAGAACACACATCCGTCTGTATTGTTTAACATTGAGAAGTGCACATTTGAAACAATTTGAAATTGAGTCACAAAAAACTTATAATGTTATAAGTTTACCGTTTTGTATTAGATCTCATTCATAGCTTTCTTGGGCCACATGTGGCTTGTAGGCTGTGGTGAACTCTCAGGGCACTAGAATCCTATAGAATATTATTGTAAGGTGTGCTACTTTTGTTTCTGTTACATTTGTTTAACTCTGTGAAGCTGTGTTACTGTGCCTGTCTAAGACACCTGATGGTCTAATAAAGAACCGAACGGCCAATGGTGAGGCAGGAGAAAGGATAGGCAGGGCTGAAAGGCAGAGAGAATAAACAGGAGGAGAAATCTGGGAGGAAAAGATCAAGGAATGAGAGAGGAAGGAGGAAGACTCCAGGGGCCAGCCACCCAACTACACAGTAAGAGTAAGATTTACAGAAGTAAGGGAACAGGAAGAGCCCAGAGGCAAAAGGTAGATAGGATAAGTTAAGGAAAGCTGGTAAGAAACAAGACAAGCTAAGGCCGGGCATTCATAATTAATAAGCCTCCATGTATGATTTATTTGGGAGCTGGGTGATGGGGCCCTGTTGTTTGTTACTGCTCTTTTTTGGGGGCCCTGCTACCCAACTCCCAAATAAATCACACATGGAGGCTTATTCTTAATTACTTAATTAATTCTTAATGCTGGTCTTAGCTTGGCTTAGTTTCTAGCCAGCTTTTCTTAACTTTAAATTATCCTGACTACCTTTTGCCTCTGGGCTTTTCCGTTTCTATTCCTAAATACCTTTGTTTCTTACTGCGTGGCTGGCTGTGTAGCTGAGTGGCCAGCCCCTGGGTCCTCCTCCTCCTCTGGCTCCTTGCTCTCCAATCCTCTAGTCCCAGATTTCTCCCTCTCTCTGTATTCTCTCTGCCTGCCAGCCCTGCCTATCCTTTCTCCTGCCTTGCTATTGGTCAGTTCTTTATTAGACCATCAGGAACCTGTGCTCGTGAAACATCAGAGTTAACTGGGGGGCTCGGGTGGCATCAGCCATCGATAACCCAAAGATGAAGATGCCAGAGGGAGGGCCGCTCTGGTCAGTGTCCAGCACCAGTGCGGGCAGAGGATTAGAGACAGTGTCTTCGTTTGCAGGTTTTCATTTGGCCCTTAGAGCCCACAAGGTCGAGTCAGAACACTGTGAAGCTGTTCCAGGGAGAGGAACTAATGTAACTAATGTTTCTACCACATTTTACCCAAAGAATTAAATGCTTTTCTGAGAAAACCAGCTCAGTAAATTAAGGCTTTAAATTTTTAAATTTAGAAAAAGTACAGTATTTTAAGACTTAAATTTTTCATCACAACAAAAATAAAAATTAACCAACCAAGGGAAGGAAGGGAAGTGTGCCCCCATCAGACTTCTGTAGCATGTTCCTGCCAGCACTCGGGATGCAAAGACTTGAGTGGCCACCTGCAAGTATTCCTGCTCAGGTATGAGGTCAGTGTAACTTGGTCCTGCAAGTATTCCTGCTCAGGTATGAGGTCAGTGTAACTTAGTCCTGCAAGTATTCCTGCTCAGGTATGAGGTCAGTGTAACTTGGTCCTAGAGGCCAGGGAAGGACCTACTGACTCTATCTTGTCAGCACAATCAATCAAGGAGGAGACTGGAACTGGGGGTCCCTCAGGCCTGCCAGAGCGGAGGTGGCAGCTGGAATTCCAGAAGCCAGGTCCTAAGAAGTCATGTCTGCCCCCATTCCCCACTTACCCTGCACACTGGTGGGGCAGCCTGAGTTTTCTGCACTGTGAACAGTCCCTGAGGGTCACTGCCACTGGTGTGTGGTGCCATCTCTAGAAGAAAAAACTACAGCTGGTGCCCTGAAGATCAGACAAACTGCCTTACAAAGCCGTTCCCAAGGACTCAAAGCTGTGAACCATGAGAAATGCCCAAGAGGTGAGCCAGGCATTTCCCACTTCTTCCAAATGGCCATGAGTGTCTTCCCATAAAAGAGAAATCCTACCCCACTGGGCCCTGCCTGTTGCGAGAGGTTAGGGTGAATGAGTGAGGCTATTCAAAAGTTTACTTATTCCTACTGAAAATAACTTCAACTGGAGAATTCTGGAAATAAAAGGACGACCAATGTCCTGTATTACTAATACAGTGACAGGCACACACCGAGTATCTGTAGCGTGCCATGACATGATAGCTTTGAAACTTAATTTTCCATCTTATAGTCAGGAAACTGAGGCACCCAGAGCAGATTGTTACAGCTAAAGATGGTGGCTTTGGGATTCACATCTTAGCTGTCCCACTACCCACTAGTGAGTGCCTTCTAAGTCCAAGAAGCAGAACTAAAGTGGCCTCATAGACTTAACTAACCACAGTGAGAAAAGGGGCTTACAACCAGGCCTGTCCGTCACCCTGGCCCACGGCCCTCCGCTGGCCAGGTGTTTAATGGGTTTCTGCAGAGTCCAGGCTTGTAAACCTGCAGCATGTAACCTGGTGTCGATAATGAACCAGAGAACTTGGTGTGTACTGTTTGTGCCAGGTCTTTCTCTGCTAAGTTGCTGGTTGCACTCACGACCACCAGCTGTTCCTCCTGTGTCCCCAGACTCTCCTCCAGGCTTCATGTTCACACGTATGCTCACGCATGCCCTTCAGAATGCAACAGATCACAGCACATGGTTTTCCTGTCCCCCTTAAAAATACATTATTGCCAGGATCCCTCTTCTCAAAGCCCTGTCTGGAGGGTCCCTGCCTACACCTACCAGCTCACCAAGTATCAGACCTATGTCTACAGTTCCAACAGCTATTGTAAGACCCCACGAAAAGGCATTGGTCCTGTAACCACCCACTGAAAACACCTCTGATTTCATGACACTCTGGGAAAATGACCCAGGGTACCAGTAGCTACCAGGTGTCATTCCTGGGCCAGAAGGTCCACAGCACTCTGCATCAGAGTCACAGGGCCACAAAACATGCTGTAGTCTGGAATGTAAGCAGACTACCCAAGGTGAACCTGAAGTTTATTGGACTAATGAGATTTAAAACCACAAAAAGCCAGTGTCAAAGACCTATTCCAAGAGGAGCACAAACCCCAGACCGCTTTTTAATGCTCATGAATGCAAGCTTTGAAAAATTAGCTGGTGTCCTAATGCTCCCTTGGGAAGCCAGTGTGCTTTGTCGTTTTCTTTGAGCTGAAAATGGACTAACCTCCTTTTGAAAGCATGAATTTCTGGTATAAAGAACACTACTACTCCAGTGTTTAAGAAGTCAAGACAAACATTTTTTAATTGGTATCTGAAAGACATCTACATGTAAACAAGGTTTTCCTTGAGTAAAGGTTGGGGTAGTTGTTATCCAAAAACACCGCTTACTTTTAAGCTGAGGTGGGTGTGATCCCTACAGGAGCCTCTGGCTCAGTTGGCTTCTAAAAAGCACTTGCATTCTGCTGCATTTGATGAATGCTAGGGAATCAGAGGCAGGAGGTTCTCTGCAGTTTCAGGTCAGCCAGTGCTCCAGAGCCAGACCCTGTCTCCAGAGGTAAAGCTGGCTTTGCATTCCTGTTTCTTCTGTCCTCCAGCTCGACACAGAGCTGCGGGAACAGTAACTCCTTCTCCATCTGTAGCTCTGGAGTGACTGGATTTGAAGGAACTGGGCAACGACTCGGGGTGGGGAAGCAGGTGAGTCCAACAAAACCCTAAGTCACAGATCTTAGATTACAGAATGCTTACATTTATTTTTCTTTGATACGGCGAAACGGATTTCCCACGGGCATTGGCCCTTACATCTGCCTCTGCTTATGCCTGGGGTTGGTCTTGCAGAGGACGAACCAGCGCCCACGCCTCTTCACCATGTAGCAGTCCCTGCAGCGTCTCTTGAGGACACCCTTGGTCTTGAAGCCCTGCGAGGGCTGCAGCTGCGGCAGGGGGCGGCCCCAGAGAAGTGAGCGCACCTCGGCGGCGCAGGGTCTGGCGCTTGGAAGGGTCCCCAGCAGGAAGGACGAGAAGGCCCGGGGCTGCACGGCGGCGAGGCGACTCAGGTGGAGGAGCGGGTCCACGAGCGAAGCCACCGCGCTTCTCACAAGCAGGGCGGCCATGCCGAGGCCAGACCTGTGGGGAGAGGAGCGTGGTCACCCGCCGCTGCACGCCTGTCTAACCCTAGGCCCTCCCTTTTCAAGGTTACTTGGCGTCAGAGGTCAGAGCACACGGTCAGGCTTCCACGCATGGCTCCCCACGTGCCCCGCCTGCGCGCTCCCGGGAAGCCGCAGATCCCTGAGGCTCAGCTCGGCCAGGGCCCCCGCCCGCACTCCCGGCCCTCAGCTCTGCCGCGAGCCTCTGCCTGCCGCCCACGGAACGCGGGACCCACACCTGGGACAGGGTGCCACCCGCGGCGAACTCTTCCCCACGCACCTTCAGGCGCCGGCTACCAAAAGCTTCCGCGTCTGCGCAGTGGAGGGGGAGACGCCACCGCCAGGAAGAAAGATGGCGCGGGGTCACGTGGGATGACGTGCGCCTTGGAGCGGAAGACCAAGGAGCGTGCTTCCGGAGACACAGCCCTGCCTGTCTTCCCCATTCCTTATCCAGAGTAACCCCAGGCTAGCCCTGCCCCTGCGGATGCTGGAACCACTGCGGGGTGGGAAGACCGGTGCCCACGAGGAGAAGACAAAAGCTAATTACAGAAATGCAGACCGAGACTGAGAAAGAAGCGGCCAGCAGTGAACATCCTGGAAAAAAGCAACAGCATCCAGACAAAAATTACGTTTCCGTTCAGTGACATTCTGCACCCAGCGGGAAAGGCCAGGGGAGCAAGTGCTAGTCAGTCCAGTCCCTCCCCCAAGCTAGGAAAAGCCCCAGGACTGAGGACTGGGTTTGACCGGGAAGTCCCCACACCGGGCTTCTACCACTAACTCTCTGCTGTCTCGGGTTTCAGGCAGTTCGTAAATCACCCAGCTTACTGTTTATAGCAAAGTAGGTTGCCAGCAAGGCTGCCCTGCCCCGCCATGGCCCCCAGTCTCACTTCACAGAGTTCACTCGGCCCATCGCGGCGCCTGCTCATGGGAATGCCTTGACCCCAGAGTTCGACCACTTTAAAGTCAACGCAGGTCAGAGCCATGGCCGGGGGGTCAAAGGCGCTTGCTGTCCAAGCCAGAGGGCCTAAGTTCAATCCCCAGAACCCACGTGGAAGAAGAGACTGACTTTCTCCAACTCTCACATGTGCTCTGTGGCGCCCATGTGCGTGTGAACCCATGTGTGTGAACACACACACACACACACACACACGCACGCACGCACGTTTTAAAAAGAGGCAAATCGGGGCTGGAGAGATGGCTCAGTGCAGTGGGTCTCAGCCTTCCCAATGCTGCAGCCCTTTTGTACAGTTCCTCATGTAGTGGTGACCCTCTCCCCATAGAATTATTGTGGTTGCTACTTCATAACTATAATTTTGCTACTGCTAGGAAGTGTAATGTAAGTATCTGACATGCAAGGTATTTAATATGTAACCCCCATGAAAAAACGGCTTGATCCTCGAAAGGGGGTCGAGACCCACAAGTTGAGAAACCTCTGGACGAATCCTTTCCAAGCACCTGCTGCTCTCGTGGAGGACCATCATTCTGTCCCCAGCACCCACACAACAGCTCAAACCATCTGCAACCCTGTTTCCAGGAGCTCCTGCGCCCTTTTCCTGGTACCAGGCACCCACGGAAGTGGCCATACACAGGCGCATACACTTATGCACATAAAATAAAAGGAAATAAATCCTTTACAAAGAGTGAGAAAGCGACAAATCTGTAGAACATGGTGCGGTGACATGAAATTAGCCTGAAATCCCAGTACTCCAAAGGCTGAGGCAGGAGGCTAGTGAGTGCTGGTTAGCCTGGCTTACATAGCTTAAGGCTAGCCTGGGCAATTTAGGCCCACATTTACTGGGGGCAATTTTCAACTTGGCGAGGCTTTGGTGTGTGCGTCCTTGTGTCTCGCTGCCTTCTCTGGTCATCTCCCATTTGTCTTCAGACTCACCTGGCCCTTATGCTATGGCTGAGGCAGAGAGGCAAGTGCCCGGCCATCAGCCTCCATCAGACAGCCCCAAACAACACATGCCAGCTTCTGGCACTTTCTCGGAATCAGTGACCCATCCCTGCTCTGAGTCCGGGGTCTGCCTCCATCCTGTCCACATGTGAGCAAAGTCGCCTACTCTACGGCCTGACAGTGTGTGATGTTCTGAGGAGGGTTCTGACTCAGTCAAGTGGTAGGGGCGAGGCCAACACGCGCTCCAGAGTCACAGGGGGCGATTTGCATCAGGTCTCTCTACACAGCAGAGCTTTTCGAGGCTGCTTTTCCATGCTGGGTAAAATCGCTTGCAGTCTAACTGGAAACTTTGTTGGTGCTGTGTGGCCAAAGTGCTCAGAAGTCTCCCTTTCCCGCCCCAACACGCACGACCAGGAAAGCTAAGCGCATGTCCTGTAAACAATATTGAAAATTTGCATTTTCTCCATTGCCATAAAAGCGCACACAGCGCGTCTTCACCTTCCGCCTCCCCTGCCCTGGTCGCGCTAGCGAGCTTTGAACACCGCGCACAGTTAATCCGCAGCTCCGCGCCCCAGCCTGGAGCAGAACCTGTTTGCCCGCCCAGGGAATCCACTCCACCGCAGCACGAGATAAGTCCCGCGAGTGCGGTCCCCGCCGACAGCTGTGCGCCTGCGTCGGCGCTTGGTACGACGCGCCGGGTCAAGGGTCGCCGGCAAGATGGCGGCGGCGCTGACCTTCCGCCGGCTGCTGGCTCTGCCTCGGGCTGCGCGGGGTTTCGGGGTGCGAGTGTCGCCGACCGGGGAGAAGGTCACGCACACCGGCCAGGTAACGGCCGCGGCCGCCGCGCCCGGAACCCGAGACTGACGGTGGCAGCGCGCCCGGCAAGGTGTGCTTCTGCCAGGCTCGCGCGCGCGTGCGCGTGCGCAGCCCTGCCGGGCTCACCGTGGGGGGTGGGCAGCCCCCAGCCCAGCTCTGACTTCGAGCTAGTGGCTTCCGGTTGGGAGCTGGTATACACGCATTCTTTGGCTCATATCGTCATATTAAGTCCCAAGTTTTAGTCATAGGCAATTGCTTTAGTCTAAAGCAATCCTAACGTTCAATATGCAAACCAAAAAATAAAAATAAATAAAAATAAAAATAAGGGAAAGGAGCAGTGTCTCCCGAAATGTCGCCCGTCGGAGGTGGCTCTCCGTGAAGGCAGGGCCCTGTCTCCAGTCTGCACTCCAGTCTGTCAGCCCCGTGGGACTCCTTCAGTACAAGTACACTGCCCTCTTGGTGGGTCTGTCTCCTCATCAATGGCTGTAGGCCACAGGGAACATTGCTCTGCGATATCTGTGATCGGTATTATGTGACTTCATGCAGAATGCAATTGTAGAAATCGTAGATGGTCCTTTTTTTTTTTTTTCTCCAGGTTTATGATGAAAAAGACTACAGGAGGATTCGGTTTGTCGATCGTCAGAAAGAGGTAAGTGGAAGATCTGGCAAAAGAGATAAGAATTCATAAAACACAAACAGGCTGAGTGAGTCTAATAGAGTTAAGTGTACTGAGCACTGATACACCACAGTGAGTGCTGCACCTGACTAGGGCGTGGGTTGTAAAGAGAACACAGGCACAGCGATGGATTACATACAAATACCTTCCAGCGCTGTGTAAGGGGTAAAGAAACAAGTGGATTTCACGGTTAGACTGGGGCCCATCTTTGAGGTGGCTCATGTGCATGCAGATATCCTCAAATCAGAGGCATTGGCTGGTCCCAGGCTTCTCATGGAACTGGTATTTAGTGTGTGCCAGCTTAACATGGAAGAGCTAGAGAAGTTCTCACGTATCCCAAGCACCCTAGAAACCCTGGAGTCCTAAATGTAAATTGTGTCAACTCCCGCCCCCCTCAGAATACACAGGATGTTTTGCATCCTGTAACAGTAGTTCAGGCTTTCACAGCATAGTCTTGTTTTCGGTCTGGTACCTGTCATAGTGGCTTTATTGCTGACAAAGCATCATGACCAAACGAAGCATGGGGAGGGAAGGGCTTATTTCATTTTATAACCTCAGGTCACATTCTCGAGGGAAGTCAGGGCCGGACCTGAAAGAGGCCATGGAGGAATGCTGCTGACTGGCATGGTGTGCTCAGCCTGTTTCCTCAGGGCACCCAGGACCACCAGTCAGTGAGGAGGTGGCACTGCCCACGGCGAGCGGGGCCCTCCCGTATCAGTCATCAAGAAAATGCCTCCACAGACTTCCCTGCAGGCCAATCCTGTGGAGGCATTTTCTCGATTGAGTCAAGTGGACATAAAACTAGCCAGCATAGTATCTCTTACGTTAAGGAAGACACACTATTAAAATTTACTCTTCTGATGACTTACAAAGGTAAGAATTTTTAGTATTCATCAAATAGATTGTGCTATGCTCTCCCAGGATAGGGGTAACTTGAGGAGGTTCAGTCCCCGACACAGGGGAAGGTCGTTTAGTTCAGACCCTTGTGACTATGCTGCTAGGGAAAGATTAGAGGGTTGGGTCTGCCTGGCCTATGTAGCCTAAGTCAGTTTCTCTGTCTCCCGTGCCTAAGCGGCCGGACTCTTCCTTCTGATACGGTGGTTCACACTGTCCTCCGTGCGTGCCTTCAGTCATGCCCCTCCCTCTGCTTTCAGCGCGGTTCTTTCTGTTCTGCTATAGCTGTCCCTAAATCAGAGTCCCCCGCCCTCCCTGATCTTGGCCACATTGTCCCAGTGTCTAGTTTTTGAATTCTGATTCGTAACAAACTCACTTGTGACGCGTTGGTTAATGGTGAGTTCATATTCCCAAGTTTCAGCTAGTATCCTGTTGGGTCAAATGAATACAAGGCAGAGAATTTTGTGTTTTTTGACTTCTTGATTGGTTTTGATGTCTGCTAGAGAAGGAGGAGAGAGAGAGAGAGAGAGAGAGAGAGAGAGAGAGAGAGAGAGAGAGAGAGAGATTGAGATTGAGAGAGATCAGTCTTCATTAAGTAGGTGGAAGCCAGTGAATTTATATGTTAACACAGGCTTCAGGGTGAATAGCATAGGCTACTAGTTCTCAAGTTCAGTTTTCTCGTTTGTAACTTTTTTTTCATAGTGACTGTCATTGTGGGTGTCCAGGAGATGGATTACCTTGGGAGTAGCATAAGACAACTTCTGCTCTTAGTGTGGCAGAACAGATCTCTCTGTTTACTATAGAGTGCTATTGTATTCCATTATTGTGGCCTTTGCATGTGTTCCTGTGTACATACAGTCCTCCAGTGTGGTGTTTCACACCCGCCGCACACTCCCCCTCCCTTTGGTCCTCCAGTGTGGTGTTTCACACCCGCTGCACACTCCCCCTCCCTTTGGTCCTCCAGTGTGGTGTTTCACACCCGCTGCACACTCCCCCTTCCTTCGGTCCTACAGTGTGGTGTTTGGCATCAACAAGCACATGGTGTTGAGAACAGGACAGTTCAGTACACTGTCATGAAGGATATTTTCTCCAGCTAGGTGTGCAAATGTGACATTGGAAGTTGGACACTGATGCGTGTTGAGAGGATGGGCAGGCCCAGTGACTTTTGTTTGCAGTGTGATCCTGGAGATGGTAGGTTTGTCCCCTTGGAGGTGCAGCATTTATTCTCAGGTGTGCTGAACATTAACAGAGGTTACTGAGGGTGTGGCTGGACTCTACCCTCACTTTGCAAGTGTCCTGTGGCAGGGCTGAGGGTCAAGCAGCTGAGGGGTAGACGTGTCCTGACTCGGAGCCTGGTCCCTAGCTTCATTGTCTTTGTGGTTTCTGGCTGGCCTGGAGAGGGTCACAGGGAATAGTTTAAAGATAAACTGAGACAGTAGAGCCAGTGTGGGTGGACAGAGCACTGTGCCAACAGGGGGCTGGCCTGGTCCTGTGCTGCCCTGATGGATGGTACTCCGACCCACGTCGTCCTGGTGTCTTGTCCTGGTTCATTCAGCATTGTACATGTCTGGGCACATATTTCTGTGGCAAACACTTGTTTGCTGGGTGATGAGGAAGCATTTGCTTAGGCATTCTTTTTTTAAACACAAATTCCCTGTTCATGAGTAATTTAAAATACTTATTTTGGTTTTAGCCTTTTTTTTTCCCTTTTGGAGGTGCTGAGGTGGAACTCAGGTCCCACATGTGCCAGGTAAGCCCTGTGGGTCTGCAGAAGGCTCGAGTCCCACATACACTCTTCCTGCTGTCTGTGCCCGGCCTTACAGAGTTGGTGAACCATGTTGGAACCTGACGACTTCCTCAGCTCCACATTTGCAGAGGACTCTCCCAGATGCAGCACATTCTGGATTTGCACAAGTGTGTGGTTTTTCCCCCCTGAACATTCTTGGACCTGTTTCCCTCTGTCTTTAGTCTGAGTTTCATCAGTCATAGGTTAGGAAGTGAGCTGTATCTGGATTTGATCTGAGGACCATGGGTGACAGGATGCTGGGCAGTTAGACCAGCTCTGCATTAAGCTGGGAAGCGTTCAGGAGGACCCTGGCTGGTGACCTGAGGGGTTCGATGTCTGCAAAGGACCCAGGGTCTAGGTCTGTGGTGCACCTTCATCCTGAGAGGCTGCTGCACCTGTGCTACCTGTCCTTAGGCTGTAAGAAAGAGGTCAGAAGTCAGGCCTGATGACCTAGAGCAGGTGGGCCCCTGGGGCCCCTGAATGAAGAGGAGACAGAGCAGTGGTTACTTGACTGTCAGGCATGCACTGAGGATGGAGAGTCCTGGGGTGGGTGCGGTAACAGCAGCCTTGTCCACAGTTGAGGACGTTTTGGAATTATTGGTGTCTCTGGTGTCATGCTCTGGGCTGCCAGGCTAGTGTGCTTCTCCCTGCAGGAGCTCAGGTCTTCACCTCTGGGGCTGGTGGCCAGGCAGCGGTCTCAGGCAAGGAAAGCACAGAAAGTGCCGGGGGCCCTGCTTCCCTGAGCTGCCGCCACCCTCAGCCCCTCGAGAGGCGGTGTCGCTTGCAGTTTAAAACTGAGCAGGGCCGGGCAGTGGTGGCGCATGCCTTTAATCCCAGCACTCGGGAGGCAGAGCCAGGCGGATCTCTGTGAGTTCAAGGCCAGCCTGGGCTACCAAGTGAGCTCCAGGAAAGGCGCAAAGCTACGCAGAGAAACCCTGTCTCGAAAAACCAAACAACAACAACAACAACAACAACTGAGCAGTTGGGCGGAGTATAGGGCACCAGGAGATGGATCGGGTCTGCCATGCACAGGCCTGTGCTGATTTTCTGTTGTCAAGATTGAGAAGCAGACCTCCGTAAGGGACATACTCTCCTCAGAGCTATGACTAAAGTCTTTTGAATTTGGAAGGCTGTGGCCTATCGTAAACACCAGAGGATGGTATTTGTTCTAAATTCATAGCCACCACCCGGGGCCAGTAGTGGCAACTTTTCTCCAAGGCAACAGCAAATTCAACAGCCCAGGACACGGCTGAGTGTCATACACACAGCTTAGAGGCTGCTGTGGGCACTACTCCAGTTGTGCCTGTGATTTGCAAGCTGCACACATATGTACATACAGTGTCTGACTGATAATTGAACCAAGCTTTGAGTTTATTTTACACTGATAGCCTTCCTGCCCATGAAGCCCATGTCTCACAGCACTGGGTGGTCCTGTATCTCATCTCACAGCACTGGGTGGTCCTGCATCTCATCTCACAGCACTGGGTGGTCCTGCATCTCATCTCACAGCACTGGGTGGTCCCACATCTCATCTCACAGCACTGGGTGGTCCCACATCTCACAGCACTGGCTGGTCCCGCATCTCATCTCACAGCACTGGGTGGTCCTGCATCTCACAGTACTGGGTGGTCCCGCATCTCACAGCACTGGGTGGTCCTGCATCTCATCTCACAGCACTGGGTGGTTCTGCATCTCATTTCACAGCACTGGGTGGTCCTGCATCTCATCTCACAACACTGGGTGGTCCTGCATCTCATCTCACAGCACTGGATGGTCCCGCATCTCATCTCACAGCACTGGCTGGTACTGCATCTCATATCACAGCACTGGCTGGTCCTGCATCTCATCTCACAGCACTGGGTGGTCCTGCATCTCATCTCACAGCACTGGATGGTCCCGCATCTCATCTCACAGCACTGGCTGGTCCTGCATCTCACAGCACTGGCTGGTCCTGCATCTCATCTCACAGCACTGGGTAGTCCTGCATCTCATCTCACAGCACTGGGTGGTCCCGCATCTCATCTCACAGCACTGGGTGGTCCCACATCTCACAGCACTGGGTGGTCCTGCATCTCATCTCACAGCACTGGGTGGTCCCACATCTCACAGCACTGGGTGTTCCCGCATCTCACAGCACTGGGTGGTCCTGCATCTCACAGCACTGGGTGGTCCTGCATCTCATCTCACAGCACTGGGTGGTCCTGCATCTCATCTCACAGCACTGGGTGGTCCTGCATCTCATCTCACAGCACTGGGTCACTGCTTGAATTGTGCATCCATCTTGGTGGATTTCGTAGCATCCTGTTTCAGCTTTAATAACTCTGTCTTAGTTTGAAATAAAGGAATATATTTTCTGTAGGAAACCAGATCATAGACAATGAACTTGAACCTGAGTGTCCTTAGGCTACGCCCGCTGGCTACTGAGAAGAAAACGAAAGGGTGGCCCTAAGTTTTGCTTTGCCCTGTGTAGAGGACACACCTCAGTGTCGCACAGTTCAGGCACCGTGACAAGTCCTTGGCAGCTCTCCCTGTTGGCCTTCTCCTGTGCCCGACGTGATTTCCTCCCCTTGTCCTCTGGGGTGGAAGAAGCAGGGCGGAGCCTGGTTGAACACAGTGCAGATCTGGATGTGGTTGGGGTGTTCACCACCCAGGTTTTTTGTATTCCTGCCTTGAACCAGGTTCTGAGAAGCAGATGTTCCTCATGGGGGTCAGGGTGCCCTGGAGCCGTGATTAAATGACAGGAGGGCAGGCACTTGTCAGTCACCAGCGTGGAGGCGTCAGCTGTCCTTCCCGCAAGGACCGTGATGAATTCCTGTGAGTGTGTTAGTGTGGCCTTTGTGACATGCTGTCACCTCTGCAGACCAGGGTTTACACCACGGGGCTTCATTTGTGTGGTCGCTGCCTTTACCCACACGGGGGGCCTAGAACAAACAGCTTTTCCCGGCTGTTCTGGATGCTGGTGTCAAGGAGCTGCCTGACTGTCACGGGGGACTGTGGTCACAGAGGACTCTGTTCAACGGAGGACTGTCTTCATAGGGTATTGTGTTCACAGGGACTGTGTTCATCACTGTGTTCACAGAGGGGTTGAGTCACTGCTGATGAATATGCCTAATGCCTATTTGCTGCAGCTTGCTTCCATTCCCAGTGCCTTCCAGAATGTTTACAGAGCTGGACCTCAGAGTAGGGGCTGTGCCAAGGGGCAGTCTAGAATTGATAATATGCTCTAAGGATACCTAACCCCTCCTAGACATCCTGTGAGTGTGGGTCTCAGGGATCTGATGCGAGGGGCCAGGTCCTGTTTTCATGGCTGTCGTGTCTCCCCTGCACTCCTTTCTGAGCCAGATTTGGGACTTGACATCAAGCCTCACCCGCCCCGAGCCTGTGGGCTGTGATCTGACTGCACTGGTGAGATGGGGTTGCCGCTCCCTGTCTGTACTTTGGGGAGTGCAGGGACTGAGCAGCCTCAGATTCCAGAAGTGAGCGGCTTTTTGTAAGGCCACTCTGCTGAGGTTAAGATGGGAGATGCTGGGCGGCACATCCTGTTAGCTGAGTAGTGGCACAGACCTTCCCTGCTCAGCCAAAATACCTTCAGAGGGTGGCTGATCACCCTCCATGGCTTCAAAAGCTGCTGGAGAAAGGAGGACAGGATCCTGCTCACAGAAGGGATGCAGGGTCTGCTCGTGGGCCTGGAGTGTGTGGGGGTCGTGTGTACACAGTCAGAACGTTTGCAGCACTCAGGTATTGTGAGTTCTCTCCCTGTGCATGTGTAGATGTTGGGGCTCCGGGATGCAGTTTTGGAGTATTACCACCCTAGATGTTGGGGCTCTGGGATGCAGTTTTGGAGTATTACCACCCTAGATGT